AGCCCTATAGTAATTCTTTTAATGTAGGTCTACTGATTACAACTTTATTAAAGTTCATACGTCACCTTCATTTTTTAAGTATACTTTTGCTGGGATACAGAATTCTATCTTGTCAGTTAATTTTCTTTCAGCACCCTAAAGATGTCCTTCCATAGTCATCTGGCTTCTATAGTTTCATTTGTGAAGTGAGCTATCAGCTTATTTTTGCTCCTTTGAAAATGATGTCTTTTTTTTCTCTTAACTACACATAAAGATTTTCTTTTTAAGCATTTTTATTATGTTGTATCTAGATGAAACTTGTTTTGCATTTTTTATGCTTGGAGTTGGTAATGCTTCTTGAATCTGAGATTTGATGTCTTTTAACTGTTTGGAAAAATTCTCAGTAATAAACTTTTTTTTTTTTTGGAAGCTGGCCATTACAGGAATTCAAACCCTTGACTTTGCTTTAATCAGCACCATGTTCTAATGCTGTTTTTGCACCATTCACTCCACACTTTTATGGACTTCATTTACAGGTGTGCTTATGTTCTCCATTTTCCAATCTCTTCTCTCTCCATTATTCAGCCTCAATATTTTCTACTGTGCTCAGAATTAATTCAACCCCAAAGCCTCCTAAATTTTAAATCTCTTAATGTATACAAATACATGTTTTAAGAAATTCATTCATCTTCCTGAATTCCTCTCTTCCAGTGATCTCTTCTGTGATCATCAAAAATCTGGACTGGTTGCTCTCTAGACCTAGTACACAGCTACCATTTTGTGGTCACCATCATATACTTACTACTTTTGCTTCTTTTTTGTGCTGATTCCTCTAATAGTAATTGAGTCCAGGGGGGGTAAAAAAATTTTTTGAGATCCTGGGTGCTTAAAAATATCTTTATTCTACTCTCATTAAAAAACCAATAATTTAGTTGAACACAGAATTTGAGACTGCAAATTATTTTCCTTCAGAATTTTGAAGACTGTTCAATTTTCTTGTGGCCTCTAGTCATATTTCTGCAAAAGCAGATGTCATTCTGATTTTTGGTCATTTGCATACAAACTGATTATTTTCTCTGTAATCACTTAGAGCTCTCATCATCTGTAGTATTCAGAAATTTCCCAACATGCTTTACTGTCATTCTGTTTTTATCCATTGTACTCGGCATTTAATGGACTAGTTTGGTCTAGAAACATATCCTTCTGTTGGTACAAAATCTCCTTTAATTATCTCTTTCATGATTTCCTCCTTTCTTTTATCTCTCATGCTCTAACTTATATCATCCAAATATTGGATATTCCCATCATCTATACAACAAGCCCAAAACGTAGCAAATTAAAATAGTAACCATTTTATTTCCACATAATTCTTTGAGTAAGAAATCTCAGCAGTGCTCAGTGGGGTGGTTCATTTCTTCTCCACATGATATCAGCTAGGATGGTTCAACTGAGGCCAAAGTATCCATGATTGCTTTATTGCATGCCTGAAGCCTTGGTATTGGCTTTTGGCTAAGACACCTAGGTTCTCCTTATGACCTCTTTGTCTTCATATGGTCTCTCTCTCATTACTTAATGATCTATCCTGGTCTTCTTTTACATGTCAGCTTGCTTCCAACAAGAAGAAAATGGAAACTGCAAGGCTTCGTAAGGCCTAGGCTAAGAAGTTATGGAACATTACTCTTGTCATATTGTATTGATCATATGAAGTCATAGGACCAACCAGAGATTCAAGGGGAGAGGAAACATACTCCACCACCTGACAGTGGGAGTAGCATGTGAGCACAGGGTTGGAAAAAATTGTTGGGACCCATTTTTGCAGACAATTTACCACAATCCACAATCTGGTTTCAGATTGCCAAAGTCTCCAAAGTCTGACAATGATTAATCCAATTACAGTAGCAGCCTCAAAGACTGGTATCACATGATCTATATCAGATTTGGATGTATTGCTTGGGTGTAGGTTTTCTTTATCTGGAAACCTGGGAGTTCAATGAGAGAAGAGGGCTGGAGGTGAAAGCACGAATGAGGGGCCTCAATATTGTATTTATAGAGTTTTTCACTAAATCCCCTGTTTTCAATACATTGTTCCCACCTTCCAATATGCCTGATTTCCCTCAGATCACATACTTTTTTTTTTTTACTTTCTCTAGAGAATAAACCTCTAAAATTCTGCTGAGGTGAGGGAAGTACAGTCATGTTACCATTCAGAGTTGAGGAAGAGGGAGAAGTGGAGGATTCAGAAGACTAAATTCTTCTTAAAGTACCACCCCTACCCCTTACTTCCAGACATACCTATTCTCACCAATTTCTTTTTTTTTTTTCCTTTTTGTCTTTTTTACTGACCGGTAACGGGATCGCAACCCTCGGTGTCACGCCTGAACCGGGGACCAGCAACGGGATCGCAACCCTTGGTGTTGCGCCCGCACCACGCTCAGCCAGTGAGCGGGAACCGGTCTCCACATGGGATCCGAACCCTCGGCGGGAGCGCCACCACACTCCCAAGCGGCGCACTCTCCAGT